TGTGTGTGGATGGGTGAGGGGTTCTGAGGGGGGGAAGTCAGGGGGTGGGAAGTGGGAGGGGGCGGATAGGGGGCGGGGGCCAGGCTGTTTGGGGAGACACAGCCTTCCCTACCCAGCCCTCCCTACAGTTTTGGAACCCCGATGTGGCCCTCAGGCCAAAAAGTTTGCCCACCCCTGTTTTAGAGCCATGCAAGAAACAACAAGGAGACAGGTCTACGCACAAAACAATTATATAAAAATAACTTCTGATTAAAATATGTTTTTAGCCTCCAGGCTTATGCATTATATATATATTATGGTATCACATTACCTCTTTTGGCCATTTTTTCCCTACAGAATCCATGTGGAACTAGGTAGAAACATTTTCTTTAATAATGGTAATTATCTTACTTAGATTAAAAGAAAATGGGAATTCAGAGTTAAGAATAAAATTCTGTATTCATGATTTCTTTTTTGTTTATGATTTATACATCACCATGAATATGCCTGCCACTTTACAGATTATTTAATAGCGTCCCTGCCCTCAAGGCATTACTTAGGTATTGAGACATATATGCAAAATAGTCCACTGAATACTTGAGCAACATTCGGAAATAGGGACCACTACACAGTTAAGACTAGATTGTGGCACCTATATTGGAGACGAGTGCTTCATCATCCTAGAGACACCTATATTGGAGTGCAGTGCTTCATCATCCTAGAGGCAACATCAGGAAGCATGAGAAAGGCAGGCGACTTCCTAGAGTTCTCTAATTGCACTGGGGTGGGGAAAGCCATCTGTCACGCACCTTTAAAGGATGCACCAAACATCTCCTCCCGTGTGTACCTGGCTGGCATGTAGATGGGCTGGAGCCATGGTTTCTGTCTACTTGCTATGGCTTTTCTAGTCAGTTGTTCCCATTGGTAACAACTAAACATCAGCCCCTCAACTGTCCTGAGCCCAAGGGCTGCTTGTCTGGCTGGCCTTTACTCTCTCCCCTGACAAAAAGAACAGGTGGCTGGGTAGGGGAATCATAATATAATTTCCAAAGGACTTGTGAATGTTTAAACGGCTTCATTAAAAGGTCAATGACATGTCATGGCACATTTTTAGAAAGATTCCATTTAGATACAAATCTCCTCATACAGCAGGTTTTCTATAATTCTCTTCTCTCTTCATTATTAAACATAATGTATTCCTGAGACACATGAGCAACTTCTCCTCCCATGTGGTTGAGATCATCTGGGTTAACCTAGCTTCTCTGCTCCTAGGTTCCTTCTTTATCTGGGTGTGTAAGGTGAGAACAAAGGAGGTGCAAAGCAGACGGTGGCGGTCATAGCAGTGGGCAGGGTAGAGGATTTTCCTGGCTGCATTTTATATTAGATGAGTGAGACAAGAAGCACGGAGATTGAAAAGGAGGAGGTTGCAGTAATCAAGGTGAGAAGTGATCAGAGCTTGCACCAGGAGCTTAGCACTGAGAATGGGCAGATGCTGGAGCTGTAGAGGAATAATTGGCAAGATTCAGCAATAGCAGCAATGTGAGGAGGAGGAAAGAAGATTTAAATGATACATAGGTTGTGGATCTGTGGAACAGGAAGGGGAGAGGAATCGCTGACAGTAATGGAGAAGCAGTAAAGGAGAGGGGTTTGGGAGCTAAAATGGGGCATTGAGTTGTTGCCACATTGAGTTTGTAGCAGGACATCCAGATTGACATTTCAGAAAGGGGTCAGAAGAGCAAGACCGAAAGGAAAGGGAATGGCAGGGTGAAGCACATGCACATTTGGAGCTAGTACAAGTTCATCTGCGTATGGTACATGCAGAAGCCTGGTCTCCACTACTCACAAAACAGCAAATCAATTAAAGGAAACTAAAAAAGGAGGAATCATACTTTAAGGCTGCTCCAAGAGAATATTAACTTGCTTAAATTACTTGTCAAGAAAGTGTTGCAAGATTTATCTTCAGATTTTATTTGTCTGTGCAAGGGTATTGAGCAGTTATCATAACAACTCCCTTGTGATATAATGACAACTATGGGGCCAGGGCAGTGATTCCATAGATAAGATTGTCAGGAAGTTCCCATTCTAAACTCAGTTTTTCTATCTATCTATCTATCTATCTATCTATCTATCTATCTATCTATCTATCTATCTATCTAATCATATGAAATTTTGGCATGCTTAGTCTTATGCCAGAGGAGAATTTTTCTTTAGAAAGCTTGAGGTCAATTGGACGTTCTTTTTTCAAGCTATGGTACTGTATTTCATTCAAGAAAATTGCAGAAAATGTAAATGAACATTTGCCTTACCTTTCCCTCACATACATCTCTATACGTCAGCCTTTTATTTTAATTGTCCCCACAAAGCAAACCAGATAGCACATGAAAAATCTGTTGCAACCTAATGCTCAAGTAATGACTTGTAAGCCTTTAAAACTTAGTTGTTCTTGAATGAATCTATGAACAGAAATGGGTGTGGTGGCAACAATGGGATGATATGGTTATACCTGTATTCAGCTTTTCCACTTTCTGAAGTCTATCTCTGTATCTGTCTGTCTGTCCAACTGTCTAGGTGCTTATATGTCCTCCATCATCATGGCATCTAAGTGAATATGGCAATACAATTTTATGCAACATCCAGTTCAGTATCCCAAATGGGCCCTGATGGCTTAAGATTGGTGATAGGATGCAGACTATCCAGACTGCTGGTTCAAATCTAGGCTGGTTTAGAAATGACCAAAGGTTTTTTAACTCCTAAAGCAGGACCAAGATCTGTGCATTTGTAGCCACAGTGTCTGGAATGGTCCTTAACACAGCTTGTTTTTGGCAATACTTGCAGTTAAGCTGTACTTAGCACCAATTCAGCTGCACCCATTGCAGATACCCATTGTCAGGTACTTATCCTAGCATTGTCAACGACGTCTTGTAGCAGTGAGTTCCGCAGGTTAAGTATGTGCTGTAACGCACAAGTGGCAAGCTGGGTGTGGAAGCTTGCTGTGTGATACCTGTGCTTGCTCTGTGCTACCATGTTCTGTGGATAAACAGAGGACTTTGGTTTCCGGGAGGATGAGTACAACAGTTTTCATTAGCACTACATAAAGAAGAAATAATATAAACTATCACCACACACTTCAGAGAGAGATGGTGAATAGAGGGGGAAGTTTCAGACACAGGCAGAAGGGGATAACAATGAATACCAGAACTCGGGCAATCTAGCATCTCCAGGATGTAGGGAGATTAGCACTTTTGCTAATCTCACCCGTATTAGCACATACCACAGGCTTGTTCAAGTCAGTGGAGGATTTAAAAGTAAGAAAATGTTAGGGGTAATGTTCAGGAAAACGTAGTATAACCAGGCAATAGCGACTGCACAGCTAACGTTGAGACAAGCTTTTCATTTAAAGTAGGAATGAAATAGTTGTTTTTAACCCACAGGTGATTTAATGTAGCCTCCAGATTTTACACATGAACTCTTCCGAGCCCCACTGAATTTTCTAAAAGACATTTGTTTTAAGAATTAGTCACTTTGGCAGGGGGAGTATTGAAATAATGCTCCCTGTTTGAAATTTGATGTGTCCCCCTTTTTTTCTAGATCCCTCTAAACAACCACAGACCCTATAAACCCTGAACTTCTCTCTCTCTCTCTCACATGCACACACACACGCACACATAAGTTAATCATATGTGCACTGCATCACGAGCTGCAGATTCTCCAGGTAACGTTTTAGAAGCTATCTCCCCAATCCGCCATAACATTTTCTGTCTCCACCAAATGGAGGTGACAGCTCTCCAGCTACTGCCTATTTCCAGCACTACCTGTCAGCCTCCTTGACTCACCAGCTGGGCTCAGTGCAGAGCCCTGTGGAGACAGAGACAGAGAGGTGAGGTTCACAGCGGTCTGCAGGGTAGCGGAACAGGCAGTTATGGGGGATATTGGGAGTGAATGCTCCATTTAGAAGGAGCAGAGAGGGGTGAATGGGTAGAGGAGAGTTCTAGGGGAGATCAATGCCACCCTATCCATATCCCCCTCCGATATCGTCCTTTCCCCTGTAATACCCCCTGGACCAGGGGAAAATGCTTTCCTTTACCTCTAGCGCTTCCAGTCTGAGGAACTGTCTGTGGTTCATCTTCATAGGACATTCGTGTTGGCAAACCCCAAGTGGCTCGAAGTGTTCTGAGAAGTAGAAATGGTAGCTCTGACCCTTAGACTGCTGTAGGGACTAAGCCCCACCTGCCCCCTTGTTGTGTTGGCAGGAGACAGGAAACGTGTATGAGTGCTGGAGGAAAGGATCAGGGTGGGCAGGATAACATCTCAGGAGTGGGGCTAGCAGCCCTGCTGCTCAGACAACTTCCCCTGCTGCCAAAACACCTGTAGTTTGTTCATGAAAGTCCCCACCGGGAGGAAATATTGACCATTAACCTTATTCTGCATGCAGTCTTAGCTCTGTTTTCTTTCCTCACGTCAGCAATCACCTGTGTGCTCAGGGCTTGCAGTTAAGAAGAAGAAGCCGTGGAAGTGCTGGGGTTGACAGCTAATGGCAGATGCTGAATGTTTTGAGTTTTTCCTACAAGCAGGTGAAAGGAAACTTTGTGCACTACTCTGCTACTTTCCTTGAGGCTTTCAGGCCAGATTTGCACAGGTAAGTGCTTACGTTGCACCTGTAAAACATTACACGTGGGGAAAACAGCTAGTGGTATGTGTCACCGCTACCTATTTTGTGCCCTCAAATACCTGTTTGTCCCGGGCTGTGTATGCTGCATGGAATAAATGTAGGTGCCTGTTTCTGAAAATGTGGTCTTTAATATATAATTCAGAACAGCCATATGTGAGTGTATTCGTTCTTTATGTCCGCAACTCACCTGCAGATCCTTTACTCTCTCTCACACATCCTTGGCTCTGATATATTCTGATGATCTAGAGGCTGGATGCTTGTTGGGACTGTTGCTGCAATTCAGCACTTGCTGAAAGTTCTTACATGCATTGCTGTCTCTCCACAGCAGCTCTTCCTGGTGTTTAACTATTCAGTCCATGAAGGAGGAGAAACAAGGAAGAGGCTGCTGCCTGCTTTTTGTAACCTTTAGCAGTCAGACAGGTTTTTCCTGGTTATCAGTCAACTCTTGGAGTTCTTCTACTCCAGTGACACTGGCCTGAGATGAAGAACTAGTAGCAGCAACATGTTACAACACAGGGTTGAAACAGAAGCACATACCAGACTTTTGAGGCTGGGATTCTTAGGATTGGCTGTGGGCGTAAATGTTCCCATTTGCTATTATGTCTTTATGTGTTTAGTCTGCATCACTGAACTTTGTTCCCAACTCCAAACCAGAAAAGTCTCTCCCCTCTCTGCTTTCAAGAATATCGCAAAGCAAACTATGACCCAGATTCTCTGCTATGTCCAGCCACAGCATGAGGGGAGAGAAGGATGCAAGGTAGCCTGCTGTGTTTCTGTGATTCTCAAGCCCACTCTACTTTGGCTCTTGCACTGCTTAGAGCAGTTTAGGGGTTGCTCTAAATGCAGCAATGGGCAAGGCCATGATGGAGCATTCCACCAGCTGAGGATATTGGGAATACAGAGGGCTCCAGCAACACTCCCTCCTTGTCCCCAGTATGCTGCCTACACCAAAGGCTAAAGGGGGTGGTGTAGCAATCGGAACCAGCTATGATGGATATACAACCTCACAATTTGGGAATCCCCAGCCAGAGAGGTACAGCCAGTTTGCAACCAGAGAATCTGTCCCTCTCCAAGGTGGAGGCTCTGAGGGAAGAAATACTTAAAAGGTCTGTTCAGATTTAGTTTTGATCTTCCCTCCATGGGCTTCAGTTAGATCATGGTTAAAATAAATCTCCAAAAAGGAAAAGGGCAGGGGAAAGTGCTGCTGTTTATCTAACTCTAATAAATAAAATATTTTGCTGAGTTTCTCTTCTCTCCCTGACAAGTCTCTGTCAGGTCATCAAATATATCTCCAAGAAAGCCACCCTGCTACCCTCAGTGGTGTGTTTTTATTCACTTGTTCACCCTTCAGCATGAGCTTAATGCAAACCTTCAAACTCACAGTGAAGAGGGAGTCCACAGGGAAAATGTTAGTAACCCTTGAAGCTTAATCTGCCAAGCTTCATGGTGCTTGCCCACTAGTGTTCTCCAGCTGGAGACCTGTTTGCTGCAGATATACTTTGGAAGATTGGGGCGAAGAAAGGTATAAATGCTGCCACCCTGAATAACAGGGTCTGTTATTGGAAAGGGGAAAAATGAAAGAGAGGAGCATCAAGGTAAGAGGTCTGGAGAGGCAGGGATTGTCAAAAAGCCTTTCCCATCAAGCAGGCTTCAGAGAACCATAACAGACGGATTTTCAGTAACAGTCAACTATAAGAGTGTAGGAAGTTGACATGCTGTCCCTAGGAGAGCCGAGGTATTGACAAAAGACATGCAAACTTGAAAAACATACATTGGTGGAAATATCCATCATGACAAGTGACTGCACTTAAGTCACCAAATGCACCTCACCCCTGGGACAGAACTCACTTATAGTTGCACATCCAATGAAACCATCCATGGATAAAGCGAATGGCCAATAAAAGGGAAGCAATGGGTAATCAGATCTTTCAAAAACTATTTAGCTTTTCGGCAGTGAGTACTTGCTATAATTGACGTGTACTTCCCTGCAAAACTGCTGGGCTCCTCAACCCCACCGTCAGAAGTGCTGAGCAATTCTGAGCCCTTTTGAGGCACAAGCACATCTCTCCAGAGTCACTTAATGAAACATCTCAAACTATTCTGAGTAGAAGTCTGACGTAGCCTTTCAGTCATTGTATTAATTGCACATGAAGGATGTCCCTATGTTTTGGGATATTTTTATGGTACTAGCAGCAGGAACTATTTAATGCTAAAGGGTGTTAAATGGTTTAGCACAGAGATTGCCACTTGAGGCCCCACAAAGTAGAAAGTTCTCAAGGTTTGAGTAGTTAGGACAGATTTTCATTTTTAGTCAGAAAGAGTCTGATCGGCAGCCGCTTCTCTGAGCTTACCTTTCCATTTCAGTATTTCCTAGGGGCCATCATCCTCCACTGAAGATGACATTATCTTTTACACAAACTGTGAGTGTTTTTGTCACCCGTTTGATTTCAGTCCAAAGAGAGTTAAGATCTTGGATATATCCCTCTTAGATGGTGAACACCTCTCTTGGGTAATTTTTATTTTCTGCCCGGTGAATGAAAGCCAGACCCACTAACGACACTCAGCTATTTGCTTTAGGATGCACCTGCATATGTACTTGTTTTGCAACAAAAATATCTCTGAAACTGAAATGATTTGTAGGCGAACTACAACTCTAGCATGCTAAAAGTAGTCAACAAGAGCTGGTAGATACTTTCTGTAGTGTGGAAACTAGGGGGAAGTGTAATCAGAAATAATCACAATGGGCCAAATCTGAGGTCCTTACTCATTTTTATCAAGTACATCTATCTATCTACATCATCATCTTCTATTTACATAACCATCAAATCTTAGGCAAACTTCCAAGACTTTTGCTCTCTCTCTCAAGGCTTTTGCTTGAATAAGTGATGGAGAAAACCTGAGTCTTCAGGATTTAGTCCAGCCTGCTTTCCTTCTCCATTTGGAGTCCATTCTCTCTCCTACCGTGTTAATATTTACTGTGTGATCACAGGCAGCAGAAGTGGCATGCCATTGTCGCTGTCCGTTGCTTCACATGCTTACTATCAAAAAACGGATGGGGGAATCTCTGTGCCACTCCCTGTCCACAGCTGTGGACAGCCGTTGTGTATCTGATTTTTTGTTGCAATTTGGAATGAAAATATTTTCTAAAATGTGAATTTTTCTCTGAAACAGAAATTCCGGTTTCCACACCACTGTAAAATATATAGAATTATGGTTGTCTGTCTTAGGTAGATTATTGCTGAAAAATTTAAACTGGTTGGTTGACAGTCAAGAAGTACAGAGCATTCCACACACAAATGGGCAGTGTGGGAGGAGGTTCAAAGATGAGAAGCAAAAAGGACGTGCTTAGGAGAGAGCCTCAGGTGGGACAAAGGGAGTGAGAGGGAAGTAGAAGGAAGGGAGAGCAAAGTGCTGGGTTCATTGAAAAACCAAGGACATGTTCCTTTTGTGGTGGTGGGTTGATTAGCACCAAGCTATGCAGGAGAGGGCTTAGCCAGCTCACAGACAGGCTGCACTGTCACGGCTATGGAAATGCCAAACACAAAACATGTTGAGAATCGTTGATTGCTCCTTATGACAACGCAGACAGGAAGGCCCACAAGCAGCGGGAGGTGGATTGTTCTGATGCAGTTTTATCTCCATTTCAATCTGCGTGGTTGCAAGATAGCTTTTGGACTTTGTAACTCTCCTTGGACAGTTAAGCACTCGTTTGTATCTGTTTTAAAAAAAAAAAAGATATTACTGCTTCTATAACAGCCTTGGAAGCCTTCCTGCACATCCTTGCAATGCAAACTTTACATGATCTCAGACGGCCACATTATTGGGATAATGACAAATTTAGCTTTATGAAAGCAAATGGTGGGTGATGGGATGGTATTCGCAAAAGTCACCCTTTGTGTGGATACATTTGGCCAGTGCCAAGGGGTTAAGTCGTGAGTTAGAGTTGAGATGTTGTGCTCAGATCTTTTAAATGCAGACTTCGTCAAATAAATATTGTCATCAGCAGAGCATGCCAATTTACGTCAGTTGAGGATCCTGCCCTAAAAACAGAAGAAAAATGAAACGGAGGGAATAGAATATTTAATCCTGTACTTTTATTCAGTTTGGTGTTTTGTGTCATTTAAAATCTTTTCCATATTTAATAGATCTGTATCTTAGTCAGGGCAGCTGCTTGTTCTGGGAGAAATTCCGTGGCCTGTATCAAGAACAAGGAGTACTTGTGGCACCTTAGAGACTAACAAATTTATCTGAGCATAAGCTTTTGTGTGTGGGGAGGGGGGGGAGGGGAAGGTGTGGGGGCGGTGTCAGATTGGATGGTTGTAGTGGTCTCTTCTGCACTTGGAATCTGTGTACCTGAGTCCTGTTTATCCCCTTCCTTCATGGGCTGGGGGAGGACAGGCTTGCCTGCATAGCCCTCAACATGCTCATAATGCTTGCAGCTCTGCATTAAGATAATGACTATAATCAAATCTCATGCTTCAGGGCTTCAGCCGGTCACCTGCAGGCATCAGAAAAGCATTTTCCCCCTGCTGCACCACTGGGGTGGCTTTTTCCCCCATCTCCCTCTGAAGCATAGGAGATTGGTCCCAGCTGGAGACAGGACAGTGGACGGGGTGGACCGGTGCTCTGAGGTGATGCAGAGAATCTTTCTTCTAGATGTTTGGCGGGTGTCTTGTTCAAATCCTCAGGGTCATACTGATAGCCAGGTTTGGGGTCAGGAAAGAATTTATCCCCCCAGGTCACATTAGCAGGGATCTTAGGGGTTTTTCGCCTTCCTTTGCAACTTGGGGCATGGTATGCCAGCTGGGATCATATGGACATATCTCACCTAATCAGTTGCCTGCTATTGCAGGATTCGCAAGCATTGATGGCACCTCGGTCTCTCGCATTCTCTGCCTGTGGCACACAGTTTAGTTCCCTGAGGACTGAAATCCTTTAGTTTGACGAAAGTCTTTGGGATAGTATGGGGTATCTGAGGGAAAATTAATGGCCAGTGAAATACAGGAGGTCAGACTGGATGATGTAAGGGATCCTAGCCTTGCCCAAAACAAACTCTAAGAATCTATGAATTTTAATTGGGGAGCTAGGTGGGAAACATCTCAGTTTAGAGGATTCTAGTGCATTTTTTAAAATGCTAGACAGTAACATTATAAAATGGATTTTACTGTATAACATTAGACTTCCCTTCCGAGCACTGTAGAAATATTGGTACAGCAGAAAAAAGTCAAAGTTATCTGAAGGATCTCCTTGGGGAGCTGAAAAATTATCCCACAGCTGCCTGTGTCCCACCAATGAGAAGTTTTCATAAGCACTCGCTATATTCTCTCCATATTCCTGCCTATCTTTCAGCCCACTCAAAGTATAGCAATTTAGTATCTAGATCTAAGATCCTGTGTACATTTTTCCTTCATAAATACAGGGACTCAGCACACCACAGGCATACTGAGCCACCCCACCACTAAACAAGTACTCTCTGTAGTTCGCAGAATTCCCAGAATACATGGCATGGAGTAGCATGGCATTTGAGATCTGAAGCATCTGAATGTCATGTAAAGTTCAATTAATTATTTTCTAAATGGTCACCAGAGCTGCTCTAGCTTTGATTAGGATTCCACCAGTATGACTGTGATCACAGTGAAGCCTTTCAGAGGAGGGGATGTTTGCTTTTGCTGTGGGCTGCTTCGCCTTGCCCTGTGACAAAGCCATTTCAGTAATGGATGCGCTCTACAAGGCTTAGAAAAACACGGCTGTGTTCTTTAAAAAAAAGAGAATCATTGTGCTTCAAATGAATCAGCTCAGTGTGATTAGAACGCTGGCCCAGTGCCACTTTCACACTATCCGCCACTAGAGCACAAACAAGCCAATCCTGGCCCGTGCAATGCTGAAGTCAATTGCCTCTTCACTTAAATCTGTGGCAGTTTAGTGTATGCTAAAATAAAGGAGTCAGCAGTATTCAAATTGCCCTTCTCGCTACATACCTCTTTTGTTTCAAAGGATCAGTCCTAGCCCTGCTCTGTACCCTTTGTTCTAGCAGGGCAAAGAGGATGGACCGCTAATTTAAAGAGTCAGCGTAGCCTGATCCCCTGCTGTGATCCTGAGCTGGTGAACAACAATTGGACACAAGTTAGAGCAGCCATTAGGTTGGTATAAGTTGCAGTCCTAGCATTGGGGGGATCAAAAGGTTGCAAAGAGCAAGCTCTTGAGCTGTGCAAGGCAGACCTGAGTGGCTCAGAACGAAAAACCTCAAATCCAGCAACCTGGATGCTTTGGGAAATGAGTGGGGAATTTGGGCTGGGGTTACAAGAGTATTTAGTATCAGAGGGGTAGCCATGTTAGTCTGGATCTGTAAAAAGCAACAAAGAGTCCTTTGGCACCTTATAGACTAACAAATGTATTGGAGCATAAACTTTCGTGGGTGAATACCCACTTCATCACTATTTAGATTCCTAAAGATGCAGGTAGGTGAACAGGTGGATTTACACAAGCACAGGTTAAGAGCCCAATTCCCACTGAAAGTCACTGGGAATTGGGCTCTTAACTCACTCAGGCACTTTTAAAAATTCCACTAGTTGCCTCTCTGCATCTTTTGGCACCTCTATACTCTTGTAACCCTGCCCCTAATTAATAGAATTATTGTTCTATGGCTTTGATTATTGGCTGACGTGGTTTGAACATATCTTTTGTAACATGCAAGTAATTCACAAAAGGGAAAACTATCCTCATCCACAGCAAAATAATAATGAAAACAAAAGTGCCACAAGCCAGTGAACATCCTCTTTAAAAGGTTTAATTTCTGTTGCCTAGAGTGGAGCTGAAAGTTTATCACACTACATGCACTCAGCCAAGTGCCAGCTGAGATTGGAAATGTTTAGCAGCTTTGGGCAGTACCAGCACTCTGTGATTCCCCTTTCCCACTTAGACTGCCTGGACTCACACCAGCTTTAGATTGTCAAACAAAACAATCTTTTATTTTTTTCCTGTTTCTTGATGGGATTCAAACAATAAATAAAAATCACCATCCCTGCAAATATTCATGAGCCATGAAAACATGGATTCTTTCTGGTTTCCCTGGCCTTCCACAGTGCATACGCTTGGATATTTATTTCATTAAGCCCATCCTTCAGGCTCCAGTCCTGTAAACACTTAAGCACATGAACATAACGTACTTTGAGCTGCACCACTGAAATCAATGCAGCTACTCCCAGCAGTGAAGTAAGTACATGAGTGTTTGCAGAATCGCAGCCTTAAAGGGCCATTTATTTATTATTGACCTTGGGCTCTGATTAGAGTCAATTCTTGAGGCAGAGTTGCTCTCTGGGAGCTGGGCATTGGCACTGGGCTGAAATTCCTGAGAGAAGGGATTGCACTGCATGCTGTCAAGTATCAGGGGGTAGCCGTGTTAGTCTGTATCTACAAAAACAACAAGGAGTCTGGTGGCACCTTAAAGACTAACAGATTTATTTGGGCATGAGCTTTCGTGAGTAAAAACCTCACTTCTTCGGATGCATAGAGTCTGCATGCTGTTTGACCATCTCATTTCAGGACTGGCGTATCTGTGTAAATCAAGCAAGTTACAATTAGGAGCTACCCAGAACTGGAAGAATGCTGGTTTCACATTGCTGGTTTATCTCTTGTGAAAGGGACATCTTTGCCAGAGGCAATGGCATTTAACTGCAAGGAGACTACATCATTACAGAAAAAATAGGCAATGCAGAAGCTAATAGGTCTGTAAGAGGAGGGATGGCCATTGTTTTTTTGAGAGTGAGTTTAATGCTAATGAACTGAAGGGCCATTAGCACCATCTTTTCCAGAATGCTCAGGTCTGACCTGAAACACGTCTTGCTATTGAAGATCCTAGATGCTCTTGAAGTGAGAATGCCAAGGTTGATGACTTGTGCCAAATTATGTGGGGACTTGGGAGGGCCAAACTTTTCTCTTTTCTCAGACTTGCATCTGAAGAAGTGAGGTTCTTACCCACGAAAGCTTATGCTCCAAATACTTCTGTTAGTCTTAAAGGTGCCCCAGGACCCTCTGTTGCTTTTTACAGACTACCCCTCTGATACTTCTCTTTTTGTGACCTAAGGCAGGATTTCCCTCCAATGGGTTGATTCTCCATTGCATGGATGGGAAGGGGGGCAGGGGGTTATGCAGGGCATTGGCAAGCTAATGAAAGTGAGGTCACTGAGGGCTGGTCTACACTACACAGTTCGGTCGACATAAGGCAGCTTATGTATTTTCTGCAGTGGCTGTAAGTTTGCAGTGTAGACATACCCTGAGTGATGATCAGAGCTGGAAGGGAAACAGTTTTTTTCTGGGAAAAATATTTAGGCAAAAAAATGTAGTGTTGTTTACAATACAACTTATTCTTAGAAAAATGTTCATTTTTAAAAAATGAAAAAAATTTTTTTGACAAAAATTGAAATTTGTTGTGGAAATTCCTGCTTAGTCAAAAAGCCATTTTCCATTAACCCTCCATCCTCCCCCCAACTTTTTAATAGAAAATTTCCAACTAGCTCTAATAATTCTTCTTGATCGAAATCTCTTCCAATAGTTTGCTTTCTACATTCATTTTTCTCTTTTAGTGATGTGGAGCTCTGCCCAGTCCCTGGAACCTGCACAGAGATGACATTTACCCTCTATACGTCTGATCCAAAGCCCCTGTCCTTCCTCTGGACCCAGAATGTGATTGATTGGTCTCTATGTATTTATACTGGAACGCATCATTATATCTATATTAAACACAGAGGATCATTTTGGGCAGGAGGGTGTGTGTGTGTGCGTGTGTCCCAGCTTAGATCTGTTTCCATTGTGATGTGCTTCTCTGATAAGGAAAGGTATAGGAAAGAGGCCACTAGTCTGGCCTTGTCTGTCTATATAAGAGAAACCCCTCATTGAATAACCTTCACAGAAGCATCCATGGTTTAACTGGCTTTTGCCTGAGTTGGTTGGCAGGGTAGAGAACTTAGCACCAGAGCCTCTTAAGGAGTTTATAACATTCCGTCTGAAAATACCTCTTAAATACCCGATTTTGAATGTTTTGTAAATTCCTTTTCTTTCTCGTCCCCCTCCTCCAGGCTTCTCAATTAATGATGGAATAAATTGACCAACAGGACAAACAATTGACAGCTGGGCAAATGTGCCTAGGTAGGTTTAGTTCTGCTTTTTCTGTCCTTAATTCAATTTAATTTTTTCTCATTTTGTTTGTTAAATGTCCTTGAAAAGGAGCTTATTTTCCAGTCCAGTCACATCCTGGAATGTGTGTATGTGTGTGTAAGAAGTGTTTGGAATCTCAGTGAAATGAATCTCTCTCTCTCTCTCTCTGAGCCCTCCTGTTTGAACTGCACATCACAGCACACTGACTTACAACCACAAAGATGTTAGTTACTGAACATGGGGTGGGAGGGAAAAGGGAATCCCACACTGATTTTACATGATCAATATTTTTAAAAAGTTGTTTACCTGGAGCTGTAAAGAATAGCTTGCTTAGCCAGCTGGAGATGCTGAGAAAGAGTTTATTGACCTTACTTGTTTATGCCATTAGAGTTTCCTTCTGTCCTTAGGGGTCTGGTTTCCCCTTGATCTGTGTGTGGGGTCTCCAGTTATCATCCGTACTCAACACTTCTATAGCACTTCATATATATAAAGCACAGCACAAATATTAACTAGTTTGTACTCACAATCCCCTCTCAAAGGTGGAGGAGTGTTAGCTCCATTTTACAGATGGGAATATTGAGACATGGAGGTTTAAAGGACCAGATTCTGCCACACTTACCAGCATCCAGCAGTACTTTACTTTTCGAGTCCTTCCATGGACTTGAGAGGTAATGTGGCCTAGTGGAGAGGGCACTGGACTGGGACTCGAGTCCTAGGATCTATTCCTGGCTCTGAGCTGCTGAGTAACCTATGTAAGTCTCTTGACCTCTGTGTTTTCCCTTCCACCCTGCATCTGTCTTGTCTATTTAGTGCGTGAGATGTTCAGGGCACGACCTGCCTTTCACTATATGTATGTACGGTGCGCAGCACAACAGAACTCTGATCTTAGTTGAGGCCTTTAGGTTCTACTGAAATATAAATGGTAAATAAATAATAACTCCGAGTGAATGAGGGTTCCAGAATCTGGATTTGCCTAAGGCCAAAGAGTGACCGGCAGGCCCAGGATTAAAATTTGGGAGTTCTAGCTCTCAGCCTTATACTCAGTCCGTTCTACACCCAGTATCTCACCTCTTAAGCATGTACGTCTTTTACCAAATGCTTAAAGTACATGTTGCTCTTTGCAGAGTGGAGTGTGTTAGAGGGATAATTAATGCTCATAGAAGTTGCATGATTGGGCAAGATTAAAAAGACAGGTCAGGGTTCAAATCGGCTAAAAACTTACAACAATGAAAAAGCCTCAGACAGATGTGTAAATGTGAAAAGCTGTGCTAGGAAGGGACAAGTCAACTGAAAATTATGTGCAAGACTGGACCTTTGCCTAATCATTGTGGTATTTCCAACTCTGGAAGTTCTGGGAATCTGGTGAGGACCAAACTCATGACACGTACAGCCAGATTTGCAGAGTAAAGACATTGCAATCGGCACCTGAACTTTGAATGCTTACCCAAAATGAAGCTTTTTAGGCTCAGTCATTAACAGGCACCGCTGGACTTTTGTGTCATGACTGTTGAGGCCCTATCAGAGCTGTGCAAAGCCAAGAGGCTGGGTGGCAGAGGTTCATGCCAGCCTTTCCATCAGTCCCAATTAGCACAAGTCTGATTCACTAGCCTTGAGTTACTTGTATGTGAACCTGTCACAGAAACACACAGTGAAACGCAGTGGGAAGCACCAAGCTGAGTGCGGTTCGGAAAAAGACCAAAACCAGGCACAACATTGCTTGGAATGGAGTCAAGTGTCACACAACAGGATCAAACCCATCAGTGAATTTTTTTCAGTGAGCTTGAGCAGAGTTTTGCATTTGTCACAAAAGTCTCCAGGCTTGGGGAATTTCATGTTTCCTGGCGCTCTAGTTCTGTGCCAGTGTTACTCTGAAGGAAGGGATACTAGGCTGATGGACCAAGGTTGACATATCCCAAGAACCATTACTGCTAATTAATATTCCTCACATATTTAAACATATTTGTTGAAAATTACCAGGTTCCCCCTTGCCATCACCTAGAGATCTTCAGAAATAAAAACCTCTGTCCTGTGAAACTCGGGCTTACTGTTGTTGTTGTTGTTGTTGTTATAGTAGCATCTAGAATAGAGCTGGATGGAAAATGACCCATCCTGTGAGAATTTTCAAGATTTTGAAATTTTTCCCATCTTGAATTGAGATGAAAAGTCAAAATCTCAAAATTTTTCAGTGAACTGAAGGTCTGGAAAAAAAAATCAGATCAAGTCAGTTGAAATATTTTGTTTTGATCATTTCAAAATGCTGTTTCCATTTGGACCTTTAACATTTTTTTTTACATAGTCTGACTGTACTTAAATTTTGAAACAAAGTCATTTCAACCCAAAATATGCAACTGTTGTGTTTCAATGCAAGGAGACGAAGGAGCAAACTACCTACTGCCCTCGCCACAGACCCTGTTTGTCTGGTGGTGACTATTTATTTTTTATTTACTTACATTTCAAGTATGATAAGGCTTCTGGCTGGTGAGTTGATGAATGATTACACAAGAGTTGTCTCAGCTACCTTGATAAAATGTGGAGTAACTCCATTTATTCGAATGGAGCTAGTCTCTGAATTTACATGGGTGTAACTGAGAGCAGGGTCTGGCACTCTGAGTACACAGCACCTTCAGTAACAATGACTTTTATGAACTATACCATCATGACGAGGATCCTGAATCTTCAAACCCTCAATTAAACTTTGTAGACCAAGCTCTACCTTCCATTATAGCTGGGCATTTCCATTGCAGACAATAGGAAGCAAGCCGAAGCTGACCCTTGACTGTACTTTAAGACTAACCTGAAAGAGGGTTATTAATACTGTGAGCCAAATTCTCTGATTCTATGCAGTTCTGCTGGGTACTAGTGTGATCTCAGTTACAGCGGTGTAAGTTCAGAGTGACACTGTTGACGTCAGTGGGATCACTTTGGATTTATACTGCTGCAACTAAGATCAAAATCTGGCTTACAGATTTCACTTGGGCTGTATATAATTCAGTGGAGAATCTGTGCAATGCCGTGTCTGTCTGGTTTTAAAGGTGGAATCTAGTCTCTTTATATACCCAGCTTTCTGAATCTGTGGCTATTGCAAGCAGAGGCATGATAAATTCCTTTTTAAGAAAAAAGAACTTTAATTTCAGTCCCGTTGCATCCTTTCCTCGGTTCTTTAAAGTGTTGTTCTTCTCTGTGGAGAAGATAATTTAAAGTGATACTTGACTACATTCACACACCTTTTGCCACCTGAGGAGATCTGTAGCTGAATTGATTTGCATATGTATTGAATATGTATTCCTAGGACGGCCACACCGAGATGCCATATCTCATTTACAGCATGTTCCTGCTGGCTCCGAGGCTTGTTAAAGGAAAGAGACTGTAAAAAAGAAAAAACACATTACATGTGGACTGCAAACATAAAAGTGACTGAAGTAGGAAGAGAAAGAGATAGATTGGCAGCCTGGAGACATAATAAGCTATTAAACCGTTTAAGGGAGGCCTACCATGGCTTGCTGAGTTTGTTGTTCAATTACTATTACTGATGAAGAATGTCAATAATTATGATTTTCAGCCTGGCTTGACGTTTACATTTGTAAAAGTTTGAAAGTCCGACTGTACTAAAAATCAATGGAACAACGGTTGTATCTTCTCACAAAGAGGGTGGATTATGCCTCCTCCACATACTAAGAACTTTCAAACTCCAGGCTCATTAATGGACTGTGTCATACGTCATCATCACTGCTTCATATGTCATCATCACTATCACCACCATTTGCATTCTTTAAAGGGGACTTTATATATCCTTTGTATTTTAGGATGGCACCAGAGTCCAGATCTCTAAAATAGCAAGTGCTGAATGGATGTCAGCAGAACACACATTATAGACCGGGGTCGGCAACCTGCGGCACGCATGCCAAAGGCGGCACTCGGGCTGATTTTTAGTGGCACATTGCTGCCAGCCGGGGTCCCGGCTGCCGGCCCTGCTCAGCCCGTTGCCGGCCTTGATTACGGAACTCCAGCCACTCAGCCCGCTGGTCTGGGGTTCCGGCCGCCAGCCCCTTGCCAGCTGGGGTCCCGGCCGCTGGACCCACTCAGCCCACTGCTGGCCTGGATGGACAGAACCCGGCCAGCAGCAGGCTGAACAGGGCTGGCGGCCAGGACCCTGGCTCAGCCCGCTGCCGATCTGGGATTCTGTCTGCCGCCCGCGCTGCCGGTCTGGCACGCGAAACCTTTTACTGGCCCGCAAAACCTTAAATTAATGAAGACTTGGCACACCACTTCTCAAAGGTTGTCGACCCCTGTTATAGACTATCCTTTCTCAGCCTCTCCATTTCCAGTTCTGACGGTGGCATGGTGCTTTCCAAGAGTGATTGCCCTTGGCCTTTTTGACATTCTTGTATAATTTACATTTCACAGCAATGTAGCCATGCCACAAAACCATATACTTTACCTTGTCCTACCCCGAAGCGATTTCACTGAGAAGAATGGTATCAATTGTATAACAGGCTGCAGTGTGTGTCTCCACCAATGGAAATACCAGCACCATACGGAGTAACACTCATTGTAAATCTTGAAGAGATGCGGTGAAATACGCACCCCTGACAGGGTCCTCTTTTGGTGCTGTGCCTTCCACTTTGTTGGCTCTCAGGAAGGCTGCCCAGTAAACTGATGAAAACCCAAGTGTAGTTGAGTGGCCCAGAGATTTATGCAAGACTAAAAGCTCTCTGATGTAGTCAGTTAAGCACATTCACTATTGAAACTGGTGGCAATGTATGAATAATATCTTTGCAATAGATCTTCAAGTCAAGTTGTAGGTACATCTTAGCTTTCACCCATAAAGCATGTTTAAGTGGTGCACAGGACTCTCTGCCGGGCCACTGTACTGGGATACATTTCACCCTGATTGTTCAGAGACCTTGGAGGAAGACAAAGGACAATTCGAAAGTCTGATGTCTTTAAAACTCTCCTTTGCCATGATGCCTACAAAAAAGAACATTAATAAGGTTAAAAGAACATTATTAAGGTTGCAAAGTTAAATATTTTGGAAATATCAGAATTAAGGTTGCCAGTGCAACCTTAATTCAGCTCCCTTGTGTGTATGCATTATGATACAGTCTTTGATTACATGATCACATACACCTCTACCCCGATATAACGCAACCCAATAGAACACAAATTCAGATATAACACGGTGAAGCAGTGCTCCGGGGAGGCGGGGCTGCGCACTTTGGCAGATCAAAGCAAGTTCGATATAACACGGTTTCACCTATAACACGGTAAGATTTTTTGGCTCCCGAGGACAGCGTTATATCGGGGTAGAGGTGTACTTTTTTTTCCTGCTTCTGGTTTTTGAAGGCTCATAGGTCAGAAAATGGCCAAATTTTCATCTGACCCTCAAAATGCTGGTCATTCGGGAGCTTTGCTCACCCCTGAGCTATATCACATCCACACTGCATTGCAAGCATTTCCTCTTTAGTATAGCAGTAAAGTGGCCTGAAATGTTTGTGCAAAGGGAGAAAATGCGATAAGAAAAGGTAAAAGGATTGAGAAGAAGCTCTGAGTTATAAGAGGTTTCCCAGGATGGCATCATCAAGTCCCTTAGATCAGCTTCTCTTCATCGCTCTTTAGTAGATGAAGATGACAAAACAATTTAAGATGACCCAAAAAAGAGAAATGAAGATAATCTAAAAATATAATATGATCACAATTTATCCAAAGTGCCTCATCATTCTGGATTCATTTAATATGCACTGTAATAGCACTGGTCCTTATAAGAGCGTTTGGTATTCAGATGGATATCGCAGACACCTTCTGTAAGTATTGTGTTATAATTTAACAAAAGTTATTGGAAACTATAAATAAGATCTCACTCTGTCTATAATCTGCCTTTGATGCATAAAAAAGGCATTTGAAAAAAAAATCACACGTTCAGACAAACTGTAACTTAGAAGCAAAAGAATTTTCTGTTCATTAAAATATCAGAGTCACTTTCAGCAGTAGGAAAATCTTTACTGGTTTGCTTCACTTTCAGACACCCTTTCTGTAGTCCATGAAGGGACAATGAACCTGATTCTTCTTTCACAGCCACCGGTGTAACTCTGCCAAATTGATGTTTCTCCTCCTGATTTACACTACTGTAACTTGAAAGGACAATCTGGCCCCCATCTTTGGAAAGCCTTTCTTCAATAATCATCATCATTATTATCGTTGTGGTTTTGCTATATTGGTCAAAAACCAAAAAAAAAAAAACTGTTTTCATGAAGAATTTCAAAAAAAGGAAGTTGTCATCATTTCAGAATGTTGGAAACAGACCCATTTTTGTATTTGAAACCTCACTCCACAAAATTTTTCTTTTTCACATTTTTATCAAGAACATTCACTTTTTTGGTTATTTTTGTTTCCCACGCAATGTGGGTTTTGGTAAACAAAACATTTCTATTAGCTTTTTGATAAAAAATTCGAAAAAAATATTTTAAAAAGGCACCACATTTTTGATGAAAAATGTCAGCTATTTTTCACCTTAGAATTTGTTTTTGAATACAGCCATTTTTTGATTAAAAAAATTGTTTAAAAATTTCCAAGCTCTGATTAGTATCAGTAATAATTCATGTGTCAGATCAACTTCTGCACCCTGGTTCTGGGCTGATGGAGTCTGCAGTTGAATTGACAGAGATAAGACTTTCCTGTGGCGAGCCTTGGGCTATGACATTCACTATGACCCACCATCAAGCTGAATCTTGCTTCCTTAACGGTTTAATGCAAGATCCATGTCTTTCAGCAAGTCTGCATCTTAGAACTGAGTTGTCACGTGGCCCCTGCTGTCCCCTTTGAGAAATGAACCATCTCAAGTAATTGGCTTTACATTTTCAGGACAGGGAGGGGACATTTGTTCTTCTTCCTGAGGGAGTGGATGTACTCTGAAACGGTTTTCATTATAAGCAATTCATGGCACAGTCCAAAGCCTCCAATGAGCTCCTTGTGGGTGTAGGGGTCTGCCTGTGCAGAGCTCACTGCAGGTTCAGAGCCTGTGCTTGTACAGCTCCTAGCACAATAGGGCCCAGATCCTGACCGAGGCCTCTGGATGCCATGATAATATAAATGATTCATACAGGTGTACTTAGACAGTACACAGATGAGTACTTCAGCGATAGAGACAGGAACAGATGTTTTGAAGTGCTCAGGGCAGTTTTCTAAGCACCCACAATGGGAGCCAGCTCTGTTCCCAACATGCTGGGCTTTTTTGAAAAGCTGGCCCGTTATACCTACAGCATCAGAAACGAGCACAGTTCTTTATACATCCTTGAGTAGGAGTTGTCCCTTGCCCTGCAGGGCTCCCACCTCTCCCTTTGTGCTGTACATGCACAAACATGGTTTTGGTTTTGTAAATCCTTCCTTTAGCTGGGATTCTCCTGCCCCCTGGCCTCTAGCCTCCGACAGCACATTTCCTTCTGCTAAGAGAGTGATCAGTGGCTCTAGTCCCCAGGGCTGCTAATGGGATGGGGTGCGGGGTGTTGGAGACACTTTCACACCCGCTAAGGGATGGTTCATCAAAGCAGGTCCTTGTGGGGATTGATTCCCCCTTGGAAATTTAAAGAGTTAATAACGGTGAGTGTTTCCTTACATAGATTATAGCCTGGTGGAAGGGAGGTGAGAGAAGTTTCTTTTAGAAATACCTTCATTTTAGCAGCTCTTCCCTCTAAGAAATGTCTCTGCTGGCTTCTCTCTTTACAAGAATGTATACCCTACCAGCAGGTCTCTTTTGCAAGAATTACAGCTGGTGAATAGGGGAGCTCCAGGACAAAATAACATCTCAAAGGCTTTCCCCACATCAGGGTTATGAGGCGGCTTCTCTATTGTAAGAATAATACCCCTGCAGGAAAGGCAGCTCCCCCGACTAGATACTACAGCCGGGCCCTGAGAAAGGGCTAATACAGATCAACATGTTTTCCATGTCACTGTGCTGTTCCCCTCTGTGTGAGCTGACAGCTAATGCTGTGAATCTGCTGCATGTCCCCTGTGCCTGGAGGAGTTTGGATGTCAGCTGCAGCGGAGATGGGGCAGGCATGGGCAGCCAGGCGTGAGCTGAGGGGAATGGTAAAGAGCAGCCAGAGAACAGGTCCTAAAGTGTCATTGTGGACCTGACCTTTAGAATGCAAAGCATTTGTCAGAAACCCAGAGAAAAGCCAGTCTCACCAGCCAAGTGACACTGAGAGGAAAGAAAGCGTCTCTCTGTCTTTCACACACCCATCTGCACCCCCGCCCCCCATACACGCACACATACCACACTAAGCGCTGGCTTACATTACAGAATTACGTCGGTATAACTACGTTGCTCAGGGGTGTGAAAGTGCCTAGAGCAGGTCTACGCTATCAGTGCAGCTGCGCTAATGCAGCGTTTTAAGTGTAAACCTGCCCGGGGCCTCATTCTCCTGCCTCCGGATACAAGTGTATGTGCTGAAGCCAGTGTGAGTCACACCGACCCACTGGCAAGAGAATGGGACCCAATGACCGTAGTCTTGCTCGGTCATAGATTCTAGGGGCTGTGACCTCCCAACCCACCCCAAAGGTACAAGTAGCTCCCATGGAAGTCAGTGGAAGTTACCCATACCCTGCATGGGTGTAAATAGGAATCTATAGATAGGGACATATCCTGGCCTCAGGTGTATGGGAGCAACTTGATCTCAGTCGGAGTTGCCTGAATCTTGCTTGTGGTCTGCAGGTCAGCGATTCCATTCTGTGGCCAATTCCAGCCAGCCTTCACCTTGGAACTCTGGCCCTTGGATTACATAAGAACATAAGAACGGCCATACTGGGTCAGACCAATGATCCATCTAGCCCAGTATCCTGTCTTCCGACAGTGGCCAATGCCGGGTGCTCCAGAGGGAATGAAAAGAACAGGGAAGCATCAAGTGATCCATTCTCTGTCACCCATTCCCAGCTTCTGGCAATCAGAGGCTAGGGATACCATCCCTGCCCATTGATGGACCTATCCTCCATGAACTTATCTAGTTCTTTTTTGAACCCTGTTATCGTCTTGGCCTTCACAACATCCTCTGGGAAAGAAGTTCCACACGTTGACTGTGTGTTGTGTGAAAAAATACTTCCTTTTGTTTGTTTTAAACATGCTGCCTATTAATTTCATTTGGTGACCCCTAGTTCTTGTGTTATGAGAAGGAGTAAATTATACTTCCTTATTTACTTTCTTCACACCAATCATGGAGGATAGGTCCATCAATGGCTATTAGCCAGCATGGACAGGGATGGTGTCCCTAGCCTCTGTTTGCCAGAAGTTGGGAATGGGTGATAGGGGATGGATCACTTGATGA